TCCAGAATCGATGTATTCTTCGACCCATTATAAAACATGAGGTATTTGAGAGAAAACACAACAAGAGCGCGAGTAATAACGACGACCGAGTGTTGTAGTTGGCCTTACCTCTTAACTAACGCAGCTTTTGTTTTAAGTCCTTTCAGTGAATCACCTCTACATTTTAGCCAGAACTTTAATTCTTCATTCTTTAAAGTTGCGGGAGATCTTCCACATAGGGAAGACCCCGGGTTATCATCTTCTGTAAGTTGACAAGCAGCCATATGTGCGAAGTCAAAATGAAAGGAAAAGTTCCCTTACTGACCTCGACTTCATGATCTGGCCTGTAGTATAAAATGTAACAAGTTTACTTTCCCCTCCTTAGTCAGACACAATGTATGTCACGTGACTAAGCACATGGAACAAGGACTTGCAGTTGTCAGCCATCTTTTAATGACTGTTCATACATGGTGTCAGGAAGAGTTTATTTTCCACGCCAAAAAACAAGCTATCAAGCCAACAGCTGACTGGAAATAGATTACAGAATTCCCGGATATTGTGAAAACAGCCACAATGGCGAAGTTCAAACCTCCGGATAGCTGGATAGTGGTGCAAAGGCTAATGTTATGTCACTGAAGACCTGCGACAATCTCAAGCGAAGACCACGGCTGACAAAGATGAACACTGTGTTGATTTCCTTCTCTAAGCACAGACTAACACCTTGTGGAGAAGTGGTGTTGAGCGCAAAATACAAAAATAATGTCGAAGAGGTCAAGTTCTTTGATGTAGAACCCGAAGGGGAATCAGTGCTTAGAGGAAACATCTGTGTCAAACTTGGCCTACTAGAGAGAGTTCACTAGCTGACCAGCGACACACCACTTGCAAGAACAGTGGAGTTGGATGACTATCCAGAGTTGTTCAAAGGATTAGGATGCTTGCCTGGGACATATCGCATTGAACTGGCTGATAGTGCTACCCCTGTTGTACATTCCCCAAGGAAGATACCAGTACTTCAGACAGAGAAAGTTGTTGCAGAACTGAAAGGGATGGAAAAGCTTGGAGTTATTGCGTGCCAAGAGGAACCGACAGAGTGGGTGAACTCACTAGTGGTAGTTCAGAAGCCCGATGGTTCAGTGAGATTGTGCATTGATCCTGGAGATTTAAATGCTGCCATGAAGAGGTCTGACTACCCTATGAAAACTGTTGATGAAGTTGCAAGCTGTCCTCAAGATGCTAATACTTTCAGTATCCTAGATGCCAAAAGTGGCTTCTGGCAGTTAAAGTTAGATGAAGAGTCCTCGCTTCTATGCACCTTTAACACCCCAATTGGTTGTTACAGGTTCACAAGGCTGCCCTTTGGCGTAGAGTGTGCCCCGGAAATCTTCCAAAGAACCACGGACCAGATGGTTGAAGACCTGGATGGTGTTGAGGTCATAATGGATGACGTAATCGTCGCGGAAGATGAAACAACACACGATGAACGATTGCAGACATATCTGGAAAAAGTATCAAAAAAAGGGCTTATAACTAAAGAAAGAGAAATGTATAATCCGCCAGAGGGAAGTGCCTTACATAGGACATCTACTCACCGCAGAGGGCCCTAAGATTGATCCCCTGGGCCCGGTCGTTCAAAAGAGGGTTAAACTAATCTGAGGTTAGGGCTAACCGAGGGTTAAATTTCTCAACCGCAGGTTTGTTAAC